TGTTGATCGTAACGGTCTTATGACCAAGATTACTCACTCTATCTGTTGATCGTAACGGTCTTATGACCAAGATTACTCACTATAGCTGTTGATCGTAGCGGTTCTTTTGACCAAGATCACTAACTATGACTGTTAATAGTAACTGTCTTATGACCAAGATTACTCACTATAGCGGTTGATCGTAACGGTCTTATGACCAGGATTACTCACTATAGATGTTGATCGTAGCGGTTCTTATGACCAAGATCACTAACTATGACTGTTGATAGTAACGGTCTTATGACCAAGATTACTCACTCTATCTGTTGATCGTAACGGTCTTATGACCAGGATTACTCACTATAGCTTAACCCTAAAATATCCACTATTACAAGCTTCTTACATACTTTCTTCGTATCTTCTTTTGTACTCTAACAATCGGCTTCCAAGACCACTTTTAAGCAGACCATAGGCAGATTGGTTCATTGGTGCTGCATCAGAGTACTTGACAAGAATGTGGTCGAACAAAACTACTGGCATTTCAGTTATTTCAGCCACGTTTCCTATTTAAACAACCGTTGATTTCCAAATGTGAGTTCAAATATCTGTTTATTATTATGTTAATGGTGCCAAGAGATCTACTTAGCTTCATCGCATTGGTTTTATTGGTATGTAGGTCCTACGAATTGGCTTGAGTTGTAGTTTTGGATCGAGTTTCTGTCCGAAAAGCTTGGCTGTGAAAGGTTTTCCTCTTTCATTGAGAACATTGAAAACTCCATTTAGCTTTACAACTTTTAATAATGTCACTTTACGTTACTTGTTCCTTTGGAAAGAGTTGTAACATATTCCTTAAGTCATAAATTAATATGTATGAACATTGTACCAATAAATTGTTGAATATTTGTTGTAAATCAAATGCTTAAGTATTAAAAATGTTGCCCTTGTTGAAAACCGCAGAATGAATAATTCAGTTCTTTTTTACAAGCAGATTAACAGTCTGTACTCATTATCAGAATATACGGGACTCATTATCAGGATATACGGGACTCATTATCAGGATATAAGGGACTCATTATCAGGATATAACAGATTTTTTTTTTTACTTTTTGTTGGTAACTTCTTTTGATCACAGCATTAACTTAGAAAAGTTTGATTTACACAGTTATGTTACTGAACTTAGCTAAATCCATATGTGGTTGGATTTACACAGTTAATTTTGCTGAACTTAGCTAAATCCATATGTAGTTGGATTTACACAGTTAATTTTGCTGAACTTAGCTAAATCCATATGTAGTTTGTTTTACATAATTATGTTACTGAACTTAGCCAGTTTCATATGTGGTTTGATTTACACAGTTAATGTTACTGAACTTAGCCAAATTCATATGTGGTTTGATTTACACAGTTAATGTTACTGAACTCAGCTAAATGTTAAGAGTTTGATTTACACAGTTAATGTTATTGAATTCAGCTAAATGTTAATGTAGTTTAGTTTACACAGTTAATGTTACTGAACTTAATTAAATCCATATATAGTTAGATTTACACAGTCTTGAATGATTCTCAAAATTCGTGTATTTTTCCTTTATTTCTATTATAATAGTTTATACAGTTTATGTTACTGAACTTAATTAAATCCATATATAGTTAGATTTACACAGTCTTGAATGATTCTCAAAATTCGTGTATTTTTCCTTTATTTCTATTATAATAGTTTATACAGTTTATGACCAGGATTACTCACTATAGCTGTTGATCGTAACGGTCTTATGACCAGGATTACTCACTATAGCTGTTGATCGTAACGGTCTTATGACCAGGATTACTCACTATAGCTGTTGATCGTAACGGTCTTATGACCAGGATTACTCACTATAGCTGTTGATCGTAACGTTTCTTATGATCAGGATTACTCACTATAGCTGTTGATCGTAACGATTATTATGACCAGGATTATTCACTACAGCTGTTGATCGTAACGGTCTTATGACCAGGATTACTCACTATAGCTGTTGATCGTAACGATTATTATGACCAGG